TTTTATTTATAGCGAAATGATGTCTTGAATGAATTTTAGTAAATAAATAAAAGCAGCGAGTTCTAGTATTGAAACTACCTATTATTCACTTTTAACAGCTGACACCAACGTAAAGATAAGCCAAAGGTAACAACATCACGCGAAAAATTATTAAAGATAATGCAATGTGTTTCCAGAATAGTTATATTAAAGGCTAGGCAACACTTAGACCTAAAGCAGTAACATCGCTTGACTGGTATGGTTGATAAATCTTGCTCCACACGTTTGCCAAGTTTGAAATCATGGAAACAACATTATATAAACATAGATACTAATTATAAAACACAATATTTTTTTTTTTTGTTACTTAGCATATAAAAACAACCTATTTAACAATCATGTACAAATTAAATATAATACATTTCATACTACTATAAAACACATTTATATAAACACATTTATAAAACAACTTTATAACATATATCACCAAATACACGTATTTATCAAAAAAATTTTAACTTTGATCATAATATACACGCAAGCATATATGCAAACTTTTAACAATTATAAAACAACATTTATTAGCATTAATTATTTTTAATGTAATAAAGAATGCAGGCTACAATGCACAACATTGTTAATAAAAACGAAGTTATGTCAGTCAGTATATATTCATCTAAAGTAAAGAAAAAGAATAAACCATTAGAAAACAAAATTAAAAATTTCTAATGAATATATATTTATATACCTTAAAATAAAGCATAACACAATACTCTTTCGACTAATTCCAGAACAAATTTTCTTAATTTTTCTATTCCTTAATTTTTTTCCTTAGAGAAAATATACAATATAGATATAGAGAAATAAAATAGACTAAAATAAATATAAACTTATGTATATAAACTTACATGACCACAAATAACAGTCTTATTTTATTTAACTTTTCATATTAAATACATAAATAAAATTTCATTTTCATTATTCTTTCTATAAAAGAAAATCTTAGCCTATGTATGAGAAAATGAATTAAACTTACTAAAAAAGCGATCAGTTCCTCTTAAATGCTATAAAAATAAAACAAATACTTGCTTAAAATGTTATAAAAAGACTAATGACAAAACTGAAACAGTTTTCTTAAAAAAAGAAACATTGTACTAATAAAACTATATTACCAGTTAATTTAGTTCTAACTTATTCTAAAAAATGAAAAATAAACACATGTTTAGATACCTTAAAATGAAGCATAACACAACATTCTTTGGACAATTTCCAGAAGAATTTTTTTAATTTTTCTATTCTTAATAATTTTTGCTAAGAGAAAATATACATAAAGTATAGATATAGAGAAATATAAAATAGACTAAAATAAACGCGAACTTATGTATATAAGCTTACATGAACACAAATAACAGTTTTATTTTATTTAACTTTTTATATTAAATACATATATAAAACTTTATTTTATATATAATTCTTTTTGCAAAAAACAATCTTAATGTATAAATAAGAAAACGAATTGAACTTACTAAAAAAAAACATCAGCTTCTCTTAACTGCTCTAAAAAATAAAACAATACTTGCTTAAAATTTTCTAAAAAGATTAACGACAAAATGAAACAATTTACAAAAAGAGAAACATTTTAATAAAAAAACTATTTTACCAAACATTTTAGTTCTAACTTCTTCTAAAAAATGAAAACAGACTAGAAAAATTAGAAAAAATAAAAGTAAGCAACAACAAAATAAAAATTATTTATATTTTTATTTAAAAAAATAAACAATATCAATTCTTCTTGAAAACAAGTGAATCAGCTCCAAATTGCTTGCTGATTTTACTCGAAATACCGCGTGGAATATATAACTGCGCTTAGAAAAGTCTAGAAACAACTTAAAAACTAAGAAACAGTGTGTTTTACATAATGCAGAACCGTAATTAACAAAACGAACAATAGGCGTAACTATGCGCACTAATATTCATTACCGTATTAATATATATATATATATATATATATATATATATATATATATATATATATATATATATATATATATATATATATATATATATATATGTATATATATATATATATATATATATATATATATATATATATATATATATATATATATATATATATATATATATATATATATATATATATATATATATATATATATATATGTTTTGTAAATATGTTTTTTCAAAATATTCGTAAACCGATATTTCTTTTTTTAAACTCTTTAAACCACTTTTTCGTAATAATTGTCCTGCTTTATTAACTCAACTAATCATTTGTTTTCCCCCGTCCAAGATGGTAACAACTTGCGCTATTGGTATTTTGCATCACCACTTTACTTTCCGACTGCGAGGATAGTAAAAAACGCTAATATTCGCCATTTTTTTCATTCTCAGTTATAATTTTTAAAAGCCTGGGGTCTATTAACAATTTAATGCAAAACTATTAAAAAATGCATTTAGTTGTACCAATCCCTATTTGTCAGTCGATGTATGTACATAGCGCCAATCCCTTTTTAGTCGAAATATGTACATTTAAAAAGCGATATTTGAATTATGAAAGAAAATAATAAATAAAGTTATATAAAATACATTCATGAAAATATTTTATTCAATTATAAATTAATTTTGATGACAATAAAAACCGGGTTGCGTATTTAAAAAAAGATTTTTGTAACGATCGATTTCAAAATGTAAACTTGATGTAAAACGTATTTAAAAAATGGCGAATATTTAATAATCGCCATTTTTTAAATACGTTAATATGTAAAACCGTTACCATTTTTTAGATACGTTAATACGTTAAAAAATTATACTAAAAAACGCTAATAGCGTTTTTTAGTACAATTTTTTAAACTTTAACATAAAAATAGAGCATTTTCTGTTGATTTTCAGACCTATGTTTTTATAGGATTTTTAATCAGCATAAATTTCTCTTACATAATCAACAATAAAAAAAAGAAAAAAAAAAAAAAGGGGGGGGGGGGGGAAGAAACTGCAGTAGCGCCCATAAAAAGTCTTCCATTTTTCTGAAGACATGGCCGATAAACTTTTTTAGATTTTAAAAAATAAATACAATAAAATTGTTGTTCTCGTTTTGTTTTTTAACAGAATTGCTAATAAAAGTTACAAAACAGCATTAAATATTCTCAATTATTTATATAATCATTTAAAAAAACTATATCTGCATTAAATTAATGATTAATAACAACAACATTGTAAAAGTTTGAAAATAACATTAATTTACACCTAATAAATTAAAAATCTTATTGAGCCAGTTAAGAAATAAAATAAAAATAGAATAAAAAAGCCAAACAAAGCTAAAGTGCCGATTAGCCGATTATTTTTTTGCGGTGGCCAGAATTACGGATTTGGCCACGAAGTAGCCAATCTGGCAAACCAGCTTCATACCATAAAAAACATTATAAAATAGTAAATTACTGCAAAAATCTTAAGTAAAATTAGGACAAAATTTTTTAGTGAAACGAGAAATTATGTAAAATCTCAGGTGAAACGAGAAATTACGTCAAATCTTAGATGAAACAAGAAGTTACGTAAAATTTTATGTAAAACGAGAAATTACTTAAAATCTTCGGTGAAACGAGAAATTACGTCAAATCTTAAGTAAAATGAGAATATTCTTTAGATTTTAGGTGAAACGAGAAATTATAATCTTTAGTGAAACAAGAAACTGCGTAAAATCTTTAGTGAAACAAGAAATTACCTATAATCTTTAGTGAAACAAGAAACTGCGTAAAATCTTAAGTAAAACGAGAATATAATTAAGATCTTAGGTGAAACGGTAAGTTACGTAAAATCTTAGGTGAAGCGATAAATTACGTAAAATCTTAGGTGAAACGATAAATTAAGTAAAATCTTGGGTGAAACGATAAATTACGTAAAATCTTAGGTGAAACGATAAATTACGTAAAATCTTAGATAACACGAGAAATTATATAAACATTTTTGGAATCGGTGCTACCAATCCGTTGTAACATAAATAAACTAACTTATATAAAAATCTTTTAAATACTATTCCATTCATGTTACCTTATTTATAATACTTAGGCAGTGTGGATTTTGATAGTCTTGTATAAGACAATGCATAAAAAAAAACTTATTTTTCAATTCTGATCAGTACTTCAAGATGTTATTCAATAGTTCATGATCAAAACTTGATATTTCGTGTTCAGTAACATAGTTCATTTTTATTCAGTGCAGAATATATCTCCTTTAAGGTAAGGAGACTATACAGCGATACCGTATTTAAGATGTGGACGGATAAATGTAGTGTAGGGAACTTTAAATATCTCTTTATCAATATAACTAAAAGTGTGCTTTAGCATACCAAGAGCTCGATTTGCTTTAGATGCAGAGCTAATTGCGTGATGTTTCCACTTAAGTTAAGCAGAGAAATTGATACCTTTCTCATTATGATTAAAAAATAATGCACTTAAAAATGCTCCATAGTATTTATATGAAATTATGCTATAGGATTTATGAGAAAATTATTATAAACTCTAGCTAAAAGAGATTTTGAACACTTGTAAAAGTATTTATCAGTGTGGTTATAAATAAAGCTGGATCATAATATAGATATTTTAATCTAATGACTTTTTCTAAAGCACTTTTGAAAATCGATTGCAGTTTATCTTGCGAGGACAAAGTTTAAAATCTATTTCTTCAGCTAACTTTACTTAATTTCTAGTGAATTTTTTTACATCCAAATCAGGTTGAAAATACGGAATAAAAAATCTTAATGAACAAGCGTTAACATGAAAATACGGAATAAAAAGTCTTTTTAACAAACGTTTTTAAGTTATAAAAAAGAATATATAAAAAAGAAAATATAGAATATATAAAATTTTTTTTTTTCTTGTTTAAACCTTTTCTTTATGGTTGTTATACTTTTTTTTTTTTTTATTCTATTTGCATAAATAGTTTGCACTTAATTTTTTTTCAATTTAACTATAAACTTTTATACATTGTTTTTATTGTTTTTGTAGCTACAAAATGGTTTTCCAACTGCTTTTTTTTCAAGAGTCCTTACTTTTCAAGTTATTAAGTTATCTAACAGGTTAGTCGTAATTATTAAATGATTTTTTTCTCTCAGCTTCTCTAACTAGGCTAAACATCTTGCAACAGTGCAACGTTGAGGAGCATTTAACCGGAAATTTAACGAGTATATTTGTTGCGTATATTGCCAGCCATATATGCAACAGTGCAAGTATTGAGTCTCAGATCTCTTGGATTTGTAGCCGCTAATCATTGTGCAAACTAAAGGAAATTATATTTGCAAAAGTTTGATAAAATTACTTAAGATTTTAGATAATTTTTGAACATGTTTAAATTGAAAAACTTTTTAGCTTTTATAAGATAAAATCATACTGTAGTATATTTTATAACTCTACAAAACTGAAAGAAAGTTTCCCTTTTTTTAAAATCAAATTTTTTTTTGACAAAATCCAAAAAATATTGAAGAGCTTTACATAAACTTAGGATATTTTTAAAAAATTAGCGCCAAATACTTAAGTTTAAAAAAAAATAAAAACACTACGGGCCCAAAAAAAACAAGTCAGCCTTAGCTGTTTTTATTACTTTTCCTTGTACTCCAATAAACGTAACTTTAAAATATATATATATACATATATATATATATATATATATATATATATATATATATATATATATATATATATATATATATATATATATATATATATATATATATATATATATATATATATATATATATATATATATATGATGTTGCTATTTGCATTATTGCAAAACTTTCAGTTCACGTGTACCCTGAAGGTAACCTATAACCTTATATTTTATTTCATTAATTTTTTATTTTGAAAGCACTTTATATGCTCATCAAAACTTAAATCATTTGTTGGTAGCTTAATTCGAAAAATGCAATATATATATATATATATATATATATATATATATATATATATATATATATATATATATATATATATATATATATATACATATATATATATATATATATATATATATATATATATATATCTATATATATATATCTATATATATTATATATATATATATATATATATATATATATATATATATATATATATATATATATATATATTAAAATGGCAGCGTATAAACTTTTCTGTTTTTAACATATTTTGATGTTAATATATATTTATACATAAAAATTAGATATTTTGATGTTAATATATAACTAACATCAAAATATGTTTAAAACAAAAAAGTTTATACGCTTCCTTTTTAATCAAACTCATTAAACAGAAATATTCGTATAACAAGAAAATGATTTTAAAAGATTTCATACATATATATATATATATATATATATATATATATATATATATATATATATATATATATATATATATATATATATATATATATATATATATATATATATATATATATATATATATATATATATATATATATATATATATATATATATATATATATATATATATATATATTCTTTAAAAGTAATTTCTTGTTATAAGATATGTTTATAAATATATTAATTAATTTCAATAAAAAAGACAGCGTACAACTATTTTTGAAATATATTTTGATATATTAATATACTAACGATATATCGTTGACCTCATCAGGTAATTAAAAAACGTTACAAAATAACCTAAACCAATCGTTTAAAAAAAAAAGACATTAAAAAAATAGACATTAAAAAGCGTAAAATATAAAAACCAATAAAATAATATAATAGTGACGTCAGTTAATTTTTTGTCAAAATTGGTCACCAAGTTTTTGTTTTTACATTATCCCCGTCATCTCTATTTAAAACAGTTAGCCAAATACCTATCTCGTGTCGAACTCTTGCTTAATTTATCTCCAAAGATTCTCTAACTTTTCTTATCTTGTATTCTAGAATGACTACCAAGGTCTTAAGTTTCAGCAATTCAAAAGTACCACAACATGTTCTAGAATGTCCTGAACTCAACCATTTTTGATTTTTACAGGCTCTTTGGTGTTCCACACTTGAAATGATTTTCTTTTTGGTCTCACCAATATATATACTTCCGCATGAGCATTTAAGCTCGTAAACACCCAGTTTTGAGTTCGGAGGTAGTTTTGTTTTGTTATTGCATAGTGTGTTATTTAAACTGGGGGCTGAAGTAAATATAAATCTGATGTTTTGTTTTCTGAATTCTTTTCGGAGTTAAGGAACAATAATAGGTATCCAAGGTAGTTTAACAAATTGCTAATCCAATTATTCATGTAGTATTTTTTGAAAGGCGATCTTAATAGTTTTTGGTTATTTTAATAAGATAACTTGATATAACCGATTTGAAAGAATGTATTTGTGAGGAAATCAATGTCTTGTGAGAGATTTTTAGAGCAGATTTATTTTCTCTAGATAGAAATTCTTTAAAGACGCCTGGTAATTATGCTTGGGTTGTTGTTAGAGTTTGGTTTTATTCTAACATCGGTTATTGCATTCTTACGGTGTACTTGAAATTCATAAAATCCGTTCATTGTATAAAATGAAATCTGTATACAAAGAAAATAGCTAAACTTTTTAGATATTATAAATATATTTGCAATTGAAATATCTAAAAAGTTTACTTATTTTCTTTTGTTTTCAAGTTCAACAATATATATTATGGAGGGGTTTTGTTCATTTAAAGTTTTAAGAAACAGTTCTTGTTTTTCTTTTGAATCGAAGCAAGCATGGGTATTTTCTATATATTTTTTGAAAGTTATTGGTTGGAATGAATTAACAAAGGCTATATTAAGGGTTCTTTTTTTCTATATTTTTCAAAAATGCTTCAGCTACGACTACCATCAATGATTAACCAATTGGACTTGAATTTAGTAAAAATACAATTATATTTTTTAAGTACAAATTATATTTTTATATTTTTAAATTATATTTTTATATTTTTAAATACAATTATAGTTTTTAAATCCTCCAAATCATCTTTCAATATGTTAACAATAACCGGTATTGCTTCATTGATTGGTACAGATAAATATAAATTCATTACATCAAATGAAACTTGAATTTCATTAAGGCCAATCTTCCATTCATTAGCATCGTTGACAAAACTACTTGAGTTAATTAATCTAGTTGTATTTTTATTTAATATTGGTTGAATAACTTTAACCAGATACTCTGATGTTCTATTAGTTGGCGTGTTAATAGTGGAAACAACAGGACGCATTGGGTAGTTTTTTTTTATTTGTGAGTTTTAACCGTTCCATTGATTCTATGTGGAACGCAATTTAATGGATACATTTTAAAGTAAGTGGCATTGTCTAACTTAACCTGTTTTATTAATTTACATAACAGTTTTTGAAATTTAGTTGTGAATGTGGGTGTTGGATTGTAATCAATAACTTTACTATTTTTTATTTGTTATTCTAATTTATTTTTTGCTTCATTTTCCCATAATAAAGCAAAACCTGCTCCTTTTTCAAATGGTTATATCTAAAGATGTGAATGCTATTTTAGATTTTGTAAAGAAAAGCGTTGTTGTTTTGTTAAATTATCTTTTAATTTTAATTTTAATGAACTAGTGAGGATTTTTTAACAGTTTTGTCGAAGAATCTCTGCCTGTGTTTGTTTATTTTTTTGTTCGAGTTGTAAGGCACAAGCTTTAATATTAGTGATGCTATCCATATAAGGGATATTCTTTTGTGATGGGACAAACTTTGGACCAAGATTAAGTAGTTCATTGGTTGCCTTATCCTGATTAATATTTTATAAATTTAGTATAGCTGAGTAGATAGGATATGCCGGTTCTAGCTCATTTTCATTTTCAACCATATTTTCAACCATATATTAATATTAATATAGGGTTCAATGTTATCCCTATTGTGTATAAATTATTTAGATAAGAAATAATTTTTTATTTTAAAAAATTGAATTTTTTAAAATAAACGTTAATTTTTATTTCATGTCGAAAAATGTCACGTGATTTTCTTGCATGACGTCACATGACTTTTTCTAATAATAAATATTATTTTCTGTTTTTAACTTTTCTTCTTCTAATCTTTCCTTTTCTAACTTTTCAGCTTGTAATTTAAATTGTTTTTGCAAATAACGAGCTAAACTTAATCTTCTTTTATAACTTGCTAATTTAATATCTACATCTTTACTTGCACAATCCATTTCTTATAATTTATGTAAAGAAATTTATTTTCAATTTTTTTTCTTGTGCGCTAATTGATATTTCAGATCTGTGCGCATGCGCTGGGATTTAGATATAACTTATTATATCTATTAAATACTTTATTATTTCTATTAAATAATCTGCTTTTAACTTTAATATTTCTACATTTTCATCATCACATATTTTTAACAACATATCTCTTGTTGATATCATTTCACTATCTAATATTAATAATTCTGGTTTTATTAATTCTAATAATTCTTTTTTATCAACATGATTATATATATTTTTTATTATTATCTTTATGTATTCTAATTCTGATTCTAGTTCAGATTTTAATTTTAAATTTTTACTCATTACTTCTATTCTTTTTTTTAAGTTTAAATATGCTGGATTAATTTCTTTTTGCATTTCGTTTTCCATTCTTTTTTATATACACAAGAAAATTATTTAACTCATTTTTAATTTTTTGATTTAAAATATTTTTACAAATAATAAAAATAAAAATGAATGATGATGAGATTAATGAAATATCTGAATTTCAAAAAGAATATAAACTTTTTGAAGAAATATTAAAATTTGAATTTGAAGAATCAGATTCTGAAGATGACACTTATTATACATCTGATGAAGCTACTTATTTTACATCTGATGATGAAGATGAAGTTAAAGAAAAACCTATAGTTCCAATTCCTTTAAAAACAGTTCAAATCATGGAACTGCATAAAGATAAGCTGAAATGGATTAATTATGTTCCAACTTATAATGTTATTAATGATGATTATCCTGCTATAGATAATACTTCTTTTAAAAAACATTACAAAAAAAGAAAATTTAGTTTTGAAAAACCATTTAATGTAGATATTAATTTTACTGAAGATGGAAAACCTTCAACAATTCATTTTGTAGAGAAACT